AAAAAAAAAAAAAAAAAAAAAAAAAAAAAAAAAAAAAAAAAAAGGCTCCTCGACTCGGTATCTTGTCTTATCGGTAACGTTCCCTCATCTATACATTGATCTACGAGCCAAGAGGAAAGAAAAAAAAAAAAAAAAAAAAAAAAAAAAGATGAAACAACGAATTCCAATGTCACTTTATGTATCTCGAGAGACGATCACGTGACGCACCAGGTATGCGTCACCGATGCACAGACAGAGCGAAACAATTATTCGCAAACGCGCTCCTCTTCTACATACATACCTACATGTACATCGGTTACGGAGCCTCGTGCCTTTTGGACTGAATTTCCGTCAGTCGCCGTTAACGGATCGTCCGCGCGTCAGTGCTCGCGTTGTACGTTTCTCTTCTTTAATCTTCAGTTTTTAATACTTACTCGAGTCTTGGAGCATTCCAATTTGGCCAAATGGAAGAGCAAACGGTTAGTGTGTGTTACAATGCGTTTTGCCAAGTAAGATGAATATTTGATTGGCCGTGTTCAACGATCTTCCACTTTAACGGTACGGTGTTGTTAACGAATCCCACAAAAATTTACATCCAACAACCGTAAACTGAATGCACTGCGATACGCCTTCGAAGCAGAGCTCATTATCCATTTAAAAGCTAAAGAAGAAAGAAAAATCGGTAAGATACATAAACGCGCGTGGTTAAACCGGCCCACGGAGTACACCATCCCCTCGCACGGAGCACGTGCGTCTCAAAATATCCTCCCCTCCGTAGAATCAGCCGCCGTGTCTCCTCGCGCGTATTTATACACCCATCCGTATACCTACGAGAATAAAAAAAAAAGGCCAACGAAATCGTCCAAACATCCGCGCGTTGCATCTTAACGGATAGGGCGGGCCCCTGTACCAACAGCTCTTCCAAAACACACAGAAGCATGCAAAAGAGATTCAACTCTCGTGGGGGGCGCGTTCGCTCTAAATTTGCATAGAATGTGGCGTTGCGAAATTTCGCTGTACACAGGTATATATACATGTACTGTGTAACGCGTATTACTCTGCCGGTCTCTGTGCATCCTCGCCGGAGCAACGGCTCCAAGCACCGACGACTGACCGCGGTGCATCGGAGCCTTGTATTACATCCGTTCCGCCATCGCTCACACGCGCAATTACAGTACTTACTCGTGTATATTTTATTCATCCGTCCATCCATCTGTGTGTAACGGCTTCGTTTTCCTTTTATTTTCCACCGCCGACCGTGCAGGTGAAGCACCACCAGCACCAGCCTGAGAATCAGCCCGTAGCAGCAGCAGCGGCTCCAGAAGCCCAACCAGAGGATACAAAGACGTCCGTTCGAAACGAGGTGGAGGAGGAAGAGGTGGAAAACAACGGCAAGAAGAAGGAAGAGAAGAAGAAAGTCGAAAAGCGTGACGAGGACGGTGTGGTGAGCTCGCAGCTGAAGCAACAGCAGTTGGCGCCGAAAGTCGTGATGGAGTCGACCCTACTCGTCCAGGAGACCGTCGCCGCTCTGCAGATCAGGGAGCCGATGATCAAGGCCGCCGAGCAGGAGGAGTCGTTGTTGTTGTTTGCCGAGCGCAAACCTCCTCCCGTCAGGCCAAACACCCTCGCTCTCGAGAGGACGACCCTCTGCTCGGACTTTTTGAGCCCCCTGTCACCGGCTTCGAAACAGGTATACTTCTATACAATATCGTTATTCTTTTTTTCTTCTCTCTCTCTCTCTCTCTTTTTTTTACCTTATCAAGGCTATTCTGGGACTATGGCCCTTAGCCTAATAAATCTAAATCTAATCTAATCTAATCTCTCTCTTCGATTCAACGGGCACGTACCAATGAGAAAGTCCGATTAAAATCTGGCGCGTCACGCGCTAACGATCATCCTCGACCCGATCGGTATCTCGTGTAATGTATCTTACTTAGACCGAGCCACATGCGTCGATTGAAGCATCGCGCGTGCACGAATCGAAAAACACTTGGCATCACGGTTGAATTGAAGTTAACGAGCTTGACCCGAGTATCGCGATGAAATCGGTACTGTATGTTATTTAACGAGTATAATAATCGTGAATGGTCACGTGCTGCAGATATTACCGCTGAGCTTTTCGAGCGACGAGGAGATCGTTAACACGGGCCTGTCCTTTCAATTGGGCCCGCCAACGAGCGTCGAGCCGCCGAAGGAGAAACCACCACCGATTCCCGTGGACCTCAGCGACGAGGAGAACCATCCGATCGAGCCGCTCAAGCGCCTCAACTCGACTCGCAGGATCAAGAAGGAACTCCGCACTCGGCGCTCCGACTTTTTGGGCATCGAGGGCGTAAGTCGTATACACTATAGTTTGGGTAGACAAAAAAAATCAAAACCATTATCCTCCCCCCCCCCTATCTCTCTCTCATTGTAGTTCAACGATGACGAGCTCGAGCGCGAACTTACGTTGAGCAAGCCTCCCGACATGGCGGCCATCCTCGCCGAGGAGCGGCGCATCGATCAGCTGCATCGGCGCTCCTACGACACGGACAGCAACTACGAGCAGGACTCGAGCCACGAGCGCGACTCTGGTGTCGAGCTCGGCCAGGCCGAGGACTGGACGAAGCAGCCCGTCAGCCCGGACATGTCCCAGCACAGCCGCCAGAGCAGCGAGCCCTTCGGCGCGAGTGTCACCTCCTCCGAGGAGGACGAGATCAGCAAGAAGGAGCGCGAGATCATCGAGGTGCTCGAGCGCGAGGAGCAGTGGCGTTACGAGAACAACCGCGAGATCAACAGCGACATCGGCGAGAAGCTCGCCCACAAGTTGCGCGAGCTCGAAGAGGAAAAGATGCAGCTTGAGCGCGAGCGCGCCTCCCAGGATAGTGGCACCAGTGAGGCTCAACAGCAGCAGCAGCAGCAACCCCAGCCGCGCAGACGCCACCAGGAAGCGACGGCCGAGACCTTGCGCATGAACGAGGAGAATCTGAGGAAACAGGAGGAGATAGCGCGTAAGCAGGATGAGGCACGTCAGAAGGAGCTGGAGAAACAACAGCTGCTGGAAAAGGAGGCGAGAGCGCAAGAGGAGAGAAGAAGCGCCGAGGCGCGCCAACAGAAGGATCAGGTGCAGAAGCTTACACGCGAGGTACGGAAACTTGACCCTTCTTTTCTGTGGAAACTTGAAAATCACTTGTGTGTGTGTGAGACTGCATAATGTGTTTTTGCATTTCAGAATAAATCGACAAGCCCCGCGCTGAGCTGTAACGAAGAAGAGTACGCGTCGAGGGTGAGTCCTCGTCTTTTTTTTTTTTTTTTTTTGTAACGTATGCTTGATCGAGCGCGCATAAGTGCCGAGGAATTTTCAATCCATGTCTTACGTTATTTGTACATTTTGAATCGCAGCAGGACGTACTGCGCGTGGAGCGCGAGCTCTTGCAGCTCGAGCAAGAGGAGCTCAAACGCCAGCGTAACAATCTCGCGTACCGCGAGCAAAAGCAACAGCAAATACAAGAGCAGTGGAAGTCGCTGCAGGACGTGGCTCAGCCGGTATCTCAGCCACATGTGCGCCAACAGCCGTACGGGAAGCCCCTCCCGGCAGCTCCGCTCAATTACCGAGCTTCGATGCCGAATCTCCAACTCCAGGAGACGAGTCTCGCCCAACGCAGAAGGCCCCCGCCGCCTCCCATCCCTCCAGCGAAGCCTCTCAGACTTGTGGAACAACGCCAGCGCATTGGCCTGCCTATCGGGTAAGATGAGATCTACTGTTAGAGAGTATTATACCGAAATGAGACCCATCCTGTCCCGCGAGTTACGCAATTCGAACCGCACCTCATTGAACATTATCCAATAGAAACAGTCGTGTACCGTCCGCGGACTCGATACCGCAGCAGGTCGAAGCGCCGCTCAGGCCGAGCTGTTCGGCGACCACACTTTCGAGCGGACACCACGGCCAGCAGATGAGCCGACAAACGTTGCAGGCGCTGTCGGCCGTACCTCGATCGAGGATTGTTCAAAGCGACCAGTGGGTGCAGCGCCGCAAGAGTGACATACCGCGTGGCGCCCATGACTTTAATTACCAGCACTGGCTGATTCAGGTGAATCTTTTTTATAGAAAATAAAAGGTGATCCGTTCGTATTTGTGCTGTGGTTGTAACGGTATTGTTTGTTCGATGAATGTACAGGAGGCAGAGCAGCGTAGAATCAGCGAAAAGAACATGCAGCGCTCGCCGGCGCGGATACGCACCTCCGTTCCGTACACTGCCTCGCCACCTCGTAACGATAGCAAGCCTTTACCAGACTCGATTATTCAAACGCTCACCCAAAGGGTCCAGAATAGAGCCCAGGACAAGCCGTTGTCTCCAAGGCGAAGGTAATGTCGTTGATCTTTCCATCAAAATCTGTTGTCACTTTTGAATTATTTGCTCAATGTCTTTTTAATTCATTCCAGGCTGGAACACAGTGCCAGCCAAGAGCATTTACACTCGTCGCAGCATTATCAAATGCAACCGCACAAATTACATCAATCGCCCAGTAATAATAACAATAATAGCAATAGTAATAACAACAGCATCAACAACAGCAGTAGCAGCAGCAGCAACAGCAGCAATAGTAATACCGAAACCCAAGAAAAGATGTTGAGTGTCAGTGGAAAGAAGAAATGCTCGCACTGTGGAGATGAATTAGGTGAGTGGCGTTTAAAAATGTATTAATAAATGGTCATTTGCTGTAATAAAACAAATAAAACAAAAAAGTTGCTCCTATGTAACAATTTACTTTCAACTTTTTGCAGGACGAGGCGCGGCGATGATAATCGAGAGCCTACGGTTGTTCTATCACATGGAGTGTTTCAAGTGCTGCGTGTGCCATGTGAGACTTGGCGATGGCCTCATGGGTACGGATGTGCGCGTACGCAATCACAAGCTCCATTGCCACAACTGCTATTCCAGCGACGACGGTACGCAACATTAGAAACAATACTACTCCACTCTGTAATTTTTTTTCTACCTTTATTTTTTCCTTCTCATTTGAAACTGTCTTTTCCATCTCACGGACGATTTAAACAATTTCCATATGTACTAATTCATTATGTATTTATTGGTTGTTTACTTATTTGAAGCAGTTTTTTATAACCACATTCGCTGATCAGCAATAAAGTAGTTGCATTAATTTTCTAGGTGTAAAATTCAGCTGCGTTTAATGGCAAGATTCAATCAACATTTAAACAAAGAAAAAAGTTAATAAATCGCGTCAGACTAGCTGCAGACTTGATTGTATAGCCCGGCTCAGCTATACCTTCGTAAGTTGTCAAACGTGGCCAGTGTTTCAAGCTGATGCCTCACTACACTGTTGAGGTAAAAAAAACCGTTCTATGAGTCAAGAATAAAAGCCGATCGGTTATGTAAATAGAACGGTACGATTGCCTCTAGCGCTTTTGCCTGTCATATGATTGCGGATGATGTCACAGAGATGAGGGCGCATGTAAGAAGAATCTGACAGAAAGAAAAAACGTCAAAGGAAAAACGTGCCTGCCAATTGTACAATGAATATCAGTGTATTTGAAGACGTGTAGGAATGAATTATGTAAATAGCGTGTATTTATGTAATTAGCAATTAGCTTTAAGTTTTGAGACTATCAGCGCTATAGTCTTTAATGTAATGTTTTCTTTTTTCTTTGTTTTGTTCTTTTTCTCAAAAGTTTTGAAATCGAATGCAAAGTAACATTTTTGAAAAGGGTATTAGTAATGCGATCATAGATTACACAATTAATATTTTTATTCTATGTCTGATTCGGAAGATTATGTACATTTCTGTATTATATATGCATAAGGAAATAATTTTTTTTTTTCTTTTCTCTATAGTATGTAGTGAATCAGAAAAATAATTTTGGGTAGATGAGCTTTACTGTTAATCAGTTGTTAATGTGAGATGATAAAAAAATCATGCATATTTAGGCTCACTCGTTTTATTTTTATCCTTAAATCAAATAATTAACAACTGTATATAACATATTTTTACATTTTTGATTGTTTACTGTACATCCACAGTCCCCCTCCGCCACACACACACACACACGGCATGTATTGTCAGACAATGCAGTCGTTGTTTTGTACCTCCGAAATTGTTTTTCTCTTATAGCGTGTATTAATTTTATGTAACAAACGATTTCATGCCGAGAGTATGTTGAATGTTAAATGGCGTATTAATAGAGTTTATTTTGCAGCTCTTTTTTTTCTTTAATGTATATGGCCTATCTGATTACTATATTTTACTGTAAAGAAGATATTGCGTCATCGTTGTTAGTTACACATGTGAAATAATGTATGATACTTGTTTCGTGCTTAACGTGTAATTTTGTATTCATGAGTAAATAAATTGAATTATTGAAACCTACTAGATAAAAATCTATTTATTTTTCTATAATCAATTGCAATAATGCATATTTATTCAAATTAATCTAGCACCAATGAGAAACAAGTATAAGAACAATTGTCCAAGACAAGTTTCGCTCACGGAAACCAAAGGTAAATTGTATACTTGCCGCAAACAGCACATAAAATGTCAACTTTTTATTCTCTATCTGTAAAATTAGTTGCGGCTGGTTTATGATTAATTAAATAGCTCTGCTGTAAGTATAGTAATAATTATTTGGATCAGCGCCATCTAGCGTTGCGAATTTCTGAACTAAAAAGTGGCCCTAAACTTTTGAACCAGAGCTTTAGCGCGTAGAGCAATTTAATCAATTATAAACCAGCCGCAACTCATGATGAAGCTATAAAATATAAAAATAACAATATATGTGTTTTTGGCGGCAAGTTAACAATCTATCTTATGCTCGAAAATTCATCTTCAAAAGTCTAAATTCATAGGAGGTCTATTTTTGGTAGAAAATAGATAGATAACTTGCCGCCAAAAACACATGTATCGTTATTTTTTCATTCTATAGCTTCGTCATAAGTTGCGGCTGGTTTATAATTGTCTAAATGGCTCTAATCCTGATTGCACTGATTGAGAATTTTAGAGGCCACTTTTGACCAAAAAATAAAGACCGCTAGATGGCGCTGATCCAAATAATGATTGCTATTTACAGTAAAGTCACTTTATTAGTTATAAACCAGCCGCAAATAATTTCATAAATAGACAATAAATAGTTGACATTTTTTATGCAATTTGCGGCGAGTTTACAATTTATTTTTTACCTTAAAATCGACCTCCAAAACCATAAATATTCTACTTATCTTATATGGCTCATAAAATCGACAATATTTACAATACTCTAGACCTTTTACCATTAACTCATGTAAGCACAAATTAATCAGTCGAAAAGAGACAACTAAAGAAAAAAGGTCTTAAAAAGATGCACAGTCACACGAAGAGTCTCCTAGGAATGGAGCATCGGATCTCACTTATTCAGAGAAGGTTGGGTTCTTTGTTTATTTATATTACTTAAAACTTACTTCTCTGTGATACTTAAATGTATTTTTTATTTAGTGAGATCCGATGCTCCATTCCTAGGAGACTCTTCGTGTGACTGTGCTTCTTTTTCAGGCCTTTTTTCTTCAGTTGTCTCTTTTCGACTGATTAATTTGTGCTTACATGAGTTAATGGTAAAAGGTCTAGAGTATTGTAAATATTGTCGATTTTATGAGCCATATAAGATAAGTAGAATATTTATGGTTTTGGAGGTCGATTTTAAGGTAAAAAATAAATTGTAAACTCGCCGCAAATTGCATAAAAAATGTCAACTATTTATTGTCTATTTATGAAATTATTTGCGGCTGGTTTATAACTAATAAAGTGACTTTACTGTAAATAGCAATCATTATTTGGATCAGCGCCATCTAGCGGTCTTTATTTTTTGGTCAAAAGTGGCCTCTAAAATTCTCAATCAGTGCAATCAGGATTAGAGCCATTTAGACAATTATAAACCAGCCGCAACTTATGACGAAGCTATAGAATGAAAAAATAACGATACATGTGTTTTTGGCGGCAAGTTATCTATCTATTTTCTACCAAAAATAGACCTCCTATGAATTTAGACTTTTGAAGATGAATTTTCGAGCATAAGATAGATTGTTAACTTGCCGCCAAAAACACATATATTGTTATTTTTATATTTTATAGCTTCATCATGAGTTGCGGCTGGTTTATAATTGATTAAATTGCTCTACGCGCTAAAGCTCTGGTTCAAAAGTTTAGGGCCACTTTTTAGTTCAGAAATTCGCAACGCTAGATGGCGCTGATCCAAATAATTATTACTATATATACTTACAGTAGAGCCATTTAACTTTACGTAAGTGTATATCTGACACCGTGCTTTCTTTACCAGGATGATAAAATCCGAAGTAAATATATACGTATATTTTTTTTTAACAAATCTCTTTCCGACGTAACGATGTAAGAATTGTAAGCTGTACTTAAGTAAATGAAATAAAAACCGTCTGCTTTGCAACTTATTGTGTGCGCGCTATCGTGCACTCGTACGTGTTTTTACGTAGTGTCGTGGCCGGGCATCCGTCTTCCGTTGCGTAGGGTCTACCGGAGCCGATACAATAGACCTTACAAGCAATTCCCTAGTAAAAATTCTCCGCTACTTAATAGTATTTTCACCAAATTTCGATCTTTAATGATGCGTACAGATATATATATATATAGTGACTCAAAGACCAACGGCCGATAATATGTTTATCGCATAGTTCTGCCATACTGACGATGGTGTGAATCCCTTACAGACCGAATAAGTTATGTCGATAAAGTATCATAAGTAGATATCTGCCGTATCGACCATAGGTAAAAACACACTCCGATACCTCAGAATGGTTTGTCTCAAATGTTCCTTACTTACCGACCCTTGGCGTCGATAAGGTAGAATCTTGCATTTCCGTCAATAGGGCAGAACCCTGTGATAAATCTCTTATCGGCCGTCGGCCTTTGAGTCATGTCATAATCATGCGTGCATGCATTAAAGGTCGAAATTCGGTGAATATATATATTATATAGTAGCGGAGAATTTTTACTAGTCTAGTAAATGTAACTATAGGGAATTTGTTATACGTCTACGCTCACATTCTAGAAAATTAATAAGTAGGTAAACTTATCACGCCAGTATCCGCAGCGGAGGGTCTATTGGATCGGCTCCGCTAGACCCTCCGCTCACATTTTAGAAAGTGAATATAGGAAAACTTATCACGCCAGTGTCCGCAGCGGAGGGTCTATTGGATCGGCTCCGCTAGACCCTCTGCTTACATTCTCTGAATTTACTTGAAAAACTTATCACGCCAGTGTCCGCAGCGGAGGGTCTATTGGATCGCTAGACCCTACGGCCTACGCTCACATTGTAGAAATGCACTAGGAAGTAGGAAAACTTACTACTGCTTTCTAAACTACTTTCCTACACAACCGTGCCGACGAAAGTTGGCCAAAAGTCACTAGCCTAGTAAATATCACTAGTGAATTTTTTCCAAAGAAATACGGTGTTTTTTAAGTTTAGAATCAGCCTCGCTAGGTGGCGCTAATTGTCAACTCACTGTGCGCACTGCGCGTATGTGTGAAAAATATACACATGGGTGATTCAAATCAAGGGCATGGAGTTTGTCTTTTAAGAACTTTTAAGACCACAACTAAACTTTTGTGTATATGCAATAACACAAGATTAAATGACTAATGAAGGTAACTGCCATAAAATTTTAAGGTATAATTAAGGTTTTTATTCAGCATATATTAAAAAAGAGAAAAATGTATCAGTTTTACATTGTTCCGCGTACTGTACGTCTTCCTAAATAGAGTGTGGCAATTTTATTGTATTGCATAATAAAGGTCTTAACCAGCTGGGGTTTGTTGTACCGAAGTATTGCGTCACTTCATCAATCTGTATGGTGTAACATAGCTGAAGAAAAAAGTACGCCTGGTGATAAGCTGAAGGTCTTCAACGGGACTGAGGTGATGATTACTGACACACCTACGGGTAATAGCTTCCATAAAGCTTTTGTATTGCAGTGATAAAATGATTTTAGCGTTAAAAGTCCACATCAAAGAGAGAGAGAGAGGACAACAAAATCGGAGTCGTTCCGGCTTCATTCTTCCGATCTATGCGGGTAGAAAAGTCAACAAGGCTGCCTCTATTATTAGACGAATCGATGGATATGGGAGCACACCTTCTACCACATATTTCACACCCTCGTGCATGTATCCCACACTTTTGTGTTCTATTTTAAAAAACATTTTATCGGTTATAAGCACATATTATATTATGTAGGCAGTCATCTACGGAATCTAGCGATGAAGATAAAGATACACGTATAAAGCACTGCGGTGATAAATTAAAATTAAAAGCCAGATAAATTTAGTATAACGGGAGTTTGTAGATGACTATCGATGTATATGTATACACGTTCTGGCGTGATATTGTTATATATATATTTAAGAACAATAAATGGATAGGTACTGACATAAAAACTTGGAGGTACGAATGAAAAGGAAAAACAAATTTTTAACCCGAGAACGGACAAAAACCCAAAATTATACATTGATTAATAACGCTTGAGCTGTTCTTTCTCTCTTTTTTCTCTCGCTTCCAGGATTGCAAGAGGCAAGTTCCAAGAAACCATAACGGCGAATTTTTTTTCTCTCAGCGCACCACTGAGTCGTAAAATAACAATCAGCGAAAATAAAATGCACAAGCGAGAGCGGAAAAACATTACGGTAGAGAAGAAACTCTTTCCAAATTCCAATGAGCAACGTATACGGTGAGGGAAAGCTCCATTAAAAATTATCCGCGCCTGCAGCGGTTTAGATGGACGCGTCGCGTCAGTCACGGCAGGCACGCGGCGTGTGTTACATCTGTACAGTGTCCTTTTTATCATACTTTGAAAAAAAAAATTTTTTTAATAATAAGCTTTGAACTTGTATTTTGTTAAAATCGTTACTGGAAGCGAAGACAATTACAAAGTGACACCAGTTGGGGTGAGATGTTTATCGATAGTATACATTTATTGCACTAAATATCGCGCGATTTCAATCAAAGTCTGTTTCTTTTTTTTTTTCTCTCTGAAAAAGCACAATTATATTGTGCGTGGTGTGTTTTTATCACGATCGTCTCTGTTTTACTGTAAAGTTTTGCAAACTTGGGGTTCACATAAACTTTTTTCAGACCGATACGCGTAAATTTGTATCTACCATTGGATGGAAAAAATAATAAAAAGGTAACATTGCTGCTTGGAACTTTCGATGGATAACATTGCAATCCGTGTTACGTATGTAGTACTGTGTCGTGACTCTATGGATCGACGGTTGACGAAGCGATACTCGAAAATCATCGCAAGCTTGAACGAAAGCTCATTCTCTCTCTGTAATATTAAAAAATAATCGAGCCACTGGTAAAAAGCCAGAGTTATAATACAATGATTTCTGGTAAAAAAGTACGCGAATACATGACTTTTCATCTTTGTTTGCTTTGGGCTTCAAAAACCATATTGTTTTTTACATCACGCCAGTATATGCGTGTCCGTGCATCCGTAGATGCGAATAGACAATCGTAATTGAGGAGTTACTGTTTTCGTAGTGGTGCGCTCTTTATCCGATCGCAATTAAGTATACAGACGTAACTTTAAACAGAGCAAGTCGAAGTGTGCCGTTAACTCGGGGCCGCATCACATTGTGTTCTACATCCATACGACTATAGGATATAATGCATCAACTCCACGTGTATTTTTCGAAAAGCCAATGTTTTGTTCTATCCCCTAGAGACACGAGTTAATTTTCACTCGTGTGGGATGAAAATCATGGATTTTGAATAGGAAAAAAAAAAAAAAAGAAATAATTTTAAAGATAGGTAGGAGCTAATTCGACAAATAGTAAATGTCTCGCAGATGTTTGAATAGATTGTTACAAGCTCGAGAAAGCAATGGATCGTGATTATACCATTACCATAACAGTAAATGCCTGTAGAGTTGTAATAAAATGACGTCCTGGAGTGACGTTATTGCCTCGCGAGCTTTTTTTTTTACTGTTGTTTACACAGAGAAGAAGGTTCATGTTATCTTTTATTTCTTTGTTCCTGATTCTATTCCTTTCTCGACACCTACGATGGGTCACTTTGAAAGAAGAAAAAGAAAAAAAAAAAAATGTATATTTTCAGTTCCAAAATCGACGAGGAAAATCAAAAAAGGGAAATGAGCTTGCGTTGGATTTACGAGAACCGCGAGCCCCCGGTGGTCGACGAGGAGTGCAGCGACATCGACGACAGTTGCAGCGACGACAGCTACGACTCCGATCTGGATGCCACTGCATTTGCGGCCAATGGCAAAAACTACGACCATTACAGCCATTCTCTCGCAGCTAAAGCAAAATCATCGGATAGCACCGACGATGATGAGTATGCGCGTATACGCAAAAAAAAAAAAAACGAAACTCCCGTATGATCGTCATAAACGTGGCAGGCGCTCGTACACCCTACGTTTTTTTTTTTTAATTCCTAAAACTCGTCGAAAACAACTTGAACCCGAGACTGCGAAGGACTACAAAGCGCTATCCGTCTCACCGAGCTTTTCACGCTTCGAATCCAAAGCCCCGCGCTTCAGCGATGACCGGCCAAAGGTCTTTTAATAACTAAATACACGCTCCTACATTACAGGTCGTATAATCCTCGATCACCCTGCTCTCCTCTCGCGTTGTCAACGATGACCAGCTGATGAGCCAGTTACTCACTTGCTTACCCTCGATTAATTTCTCTCATCTGCTTCGGGCAATGTCAGCGGGTCAATTATGATCTTCTTTCGCGTGTGCCTCTTTTGAAGTACCTTCGCCATATGTATAACTATGAAGTATACGCGTAAACAAAAATAAGAGAATTTTTATGTAAGTACACGTGCATGACTGTACAACTGCACGGTTTATTTATTGGTCGGCTGACTTTGTTGGGTGCACGTAGACGTATATATATATGTATACTCATATAGCCAAGTTAACGGGAATCACGCTCGTGTGTTTTTGTACAGTGAAAGTTTTGAAATGCAAGCTTACCTTCTTGATTTTACGTTGAAAATAGATTTAATCTACAAAATATACGTTTTCAATCATTTCGTATCATTTTTTTCATACCGATTCGCGTATTGCCATTAAAGTACCAAAATGAATATACCCATTTTTTGATTTACACACAACTTTCCCAACTAATGAGTTAAAAAAAAGCTCTGGTTCAACATAAAGCTACCTATACACACGCGTCGAGGGAAAAAAAAAAAGCATTGAAAATATGCAATCTAGAGCAATGGCTCTAATTATAGAGTTGTGGGCCATGAAAAACGAACAAACGCACAGTAGTGCCTCAAATATACTTGCAGGCTAGATGGTAAGAGAGAAAAATAAAAAATGTTTTTTTTTTTTTTTTTCCACGAAATCAAAAGATTAACTCTGTTAACACCAGGAACCGTATGATTCTTTATTTTGTTCCCTCTAACTCTTGTTGCGCATTCATAGGGCGTACATCATTTGCCGAGTTAATTGGTGCTAATTTCATTTAACAAACCGTATACGGTATACGTGTGAGATGCCCGTTTATTTGGTCCGCGTTCATGAATTACGCGTCACTTACGTTGACAACGCCCTGCACCAACGAATTAATTGGTTAATTAAAATTAATAACGTTCGATTGGTACGGATGAACGATTTTCTTTATTTCACAGAAACGCACGCCACAAGCCAGAAACGTGTCCAACGGAATTGCCCGGCAGTGGTTGCGACCTTCAGTTGGCAACGGTGAATAGTTATATCGCTCGTCATCCGCTAAAATTAAAACTCTTCTGTCGCACTGGTTATTACCTAGGAATGACGCGATCGGGACGAGTGAAGGGATTCGCCGACGAAAGCACGAGCGATGCTCACGGTACTTGTACATGCAACCAAAAGTTTAACGATCCCTCGAGTCGTACATACCAGCTGTATGATGCTATATACTTTTTGTACAAGAATAAAATATATTGTTGAACAGTTGTTGGATGTAAAAAAAAAACAAAAACAAAAAAAAAACAATTTGTTTAAACTAGTTTTTCAGCGATTAGTTTAAATGTAGAACTCGATACGTAAATCGATTGGCAGAATCGACGTTTACTAGCGATGTAATTTACAGTGCGATTCGTTCTGTCATCGGTTGCGGACGGAGTGGTTCGACTAGAGAGTACGGAAACCGGTCACTACTTAGCCATCAATTCAACCGGTCATTTGTATGGAGAGGTAACTGTTGTTGTTATTTAATTGACTAACATACAAACATGGGGTGACATTTCAATAAGTTTTTGCACCATGAAATATAGTTAACAGTTTTACGCCTTGCCGTAATTGTTTTTAGTTAAAAGCAAACAAAGACAACACGAAGTGGGAGCAGTGGAGTTCTGGGAAATACGATTCGTTCCGATCGCACAAGTACGCTGATGACGGCTGGTGGCTGGCCATCAAAAACAACGGCAGGCACAAATCGGCTCCCAAGACTGCCTGGGCACAAAAGGCCACGCAATTCGTAATCATTAGGATGGCGTGACCGTCTATCGTACGAGCAGCTTGATTTTTTTTTTTTTTTTTTTTTTTTCTTCTTGTAAAGTAAAAAATTACAGAATCGTTATTTGTTTGCTTTGCTTGGATTCGTTATTTTATTTTATATTTTTGAAAAAAAATGGGACCGACCCCAAGGTTACATTATTAAATTAGATAGTATTAAGAGATGGCAAGAAGACGCTGGTGATAAAAACGCTTGAATGTGTGAGATTAATACAAGGATGCGTTATAAAATGTAACATGGAAAATATAAAATTGTTACATGCACATGTGAGTAACAAATAGTGCAATGATCAGTTATTTAATGATGATATTCATGTAATTATAAGAATGAACACACATATATGTACGGTATTAAGGTCCAAATAAGTTAAATTAATTTAGATGTATGGAAAATAGTTTGGCAATAAATTAAATTACAAAAGTAAATTAAAATGTATACAGGCATTAAATTGCTCCGGAATGTTAATAATTTTGAACATGAGTAGAATGTCATGTCTTACTTTTGTAAAATATTTTACGCACAATAATATTACCGATATCAATGTATACAAAATGGTAACAGATAAATGGTGCATTACAGTTGAAGAAATACTGAAGAAACGTATTTTGTTTATCAGCAATGTAAGATTGTCAATGCTTGCCCGGCTTTTCGTTAATCAATATTGGTTGGGTGAGATTAAGCGTTTTTTCTATTGTTTTTATGAAACAAGGCCAATGATATTGAAAAAAAAAAAAAAAAAAAATTTGAATTGAATATAAAAGCAAAATCTTATCCAAGTTATCAGTCTGATAATGCAATTTTTTACATTGTGCATTGATAATTTATTGACTTTATTTAACGTCTCGGTAAATATTTATCAGTTCGTTGCCTGCAGGATTAGTTCACATTTAATCGAGTAAACAGTTGCTCGGTGCTATCCCGCGTACTCGCCAAAATCAATTATTATCTCTCGTAACCGACAATAGTAAGAAAAACATATTTTGACGTTCATTGATATACCAAATATTAGTGCAAGTCTACTTATATCCGTGTACGCGGTAAAACGAGTAATTTCCTATTATAAATCGATCCCACAGTAGTGCGAATTTCAATGTTATTATACATGTGACAAAATGTACACTACTACGAAAGTTTAAAGTCAAGCTTGATGAATAAATTACATATTTGCCATTAGCCGGAATTTTTAAAGGAAAAAGTAAAAAAAAAAAAAAAAATACCTCGATCAATACAGCTCACAAAGTTAAAATGGAAAATATAAAAAGAATGAGCGTATAGACATTCTATTGACATAGCTGTCAATCGTTTCCTGAAAAATATAGTTTACTCATATACATTTATTTTTCTACCAAAGAATTGTGCGTTGGATCTTGTACGAGTTTGAATATTTGAACATCGTGACGGAACAAAGCTTTCTCAGAGGCAAAAAATGGCACCACCAGCTACACTCGCCCTACTTCTGGTGTGTCTGGGCACAGCACCCACTTTGATCTCCGGTCTGCGAATCCTCGGCTTGTTTCCATTCCATTCGAAAAGCCACTTTGTCATGTGCGAAGCGGTAATGAAAGGCTTAGCAGCCAAGGGCCACCGAGTCGACGTGTACAGCCATTTTCCCCAATCGGAACCCGTGCCCAATTACACGGACTTCAGTCTCGAGGGTACATTGGAAGTACTGGTGAACAATTTCACTCACGACAACGTCGTGAATAACAAAGCCCTCGCGGGATTCCTCATGAACGAGAGCACGGAATGGATAAGATCGATGTGCAAGCTACTGGATCACCCGCACTTTGAAAAACTTTTGAACAACCCACCGCAAGATCCGCCCTACGACCTCGTGATTTTAGAGGTAAGCCGCACACCGTGTCTTTTTCCTATGATTAATACATACATATACGTAATAAGTATTAATTGTAGGCTCATTGATTGTTGGATATATATATATATATTATTGTGTATGCGTGTTACAGTTTGCCTTGCCGATATGTTTCGTTCCTTTTGGCCGTCGTTTAAACGTGCCAATGATCGGTATCGTCACCGTGGCGACACTCGACGATATTCAACATCCCCTGGGTAGTCCGCAAAATTTGGCAACAGATCCGAGCGTTTTCTCGGAGTACAGTGCCCCCATGAGTTTTACGGAACGACTGCAAAACTTCATCACATTTCACGTGGCCAGAGTAACGAACGAATTTTTGGGAGTGGCACAAAACAACGAGTGCATACGAAAGGTATTTGGGCCCGATTGCCCCGGTAGCCCCGAAATTTTGAAGGATTTTTCGTTGATTCTGATTAACCAAAACAAAGCGATTAACGGAATCAGGGCCTTTACCCCTGCCATTGTGCCGGTCGGAGGCCTGCACATTGTCGAAAAAAACGAAACTTTGCCGCAGGTGCGTAATGGAAAGAAATTATATCATTACCACGGAGATGAAAAACAACATGAATTCTATAAATAATGTGCGTGCAGGACGTGCAAAAATGGTTGGACGATAGCGAGCACGGATGCGTTTATTTTTCCTTCGGGTCGATGGTCAAGCTGGAAACTTTTCCGCGGCCCTTGATTCAACAACTCTACGGGGCATTTGCAAATATTGCGCCAACCCGCGTACTCCTGAGGGTCGTGGACCGAGAGCTGCTACCCGATGGAATCCCCTCGAACGTCATGATCAAGCCGTGGCTGCAACAGATGCAAATTTTAAGTACTCACTTTTGTTTTTACTCGATCAACATGTGTATAAGTTATAATACTCAAAGTACAAAAATAAAACTGGATGGAAAACTTTTTTTTTTTTTTTTTCGTCCAATTTTTTCAGAACACAAAAATGTAAAAGTTTTCGTTACTCACGGTGGACTGATGAGTACTCAAGAAGCAATTCACTACGAAGTACCGATGATCGGCATTCCGCTGTTTATCGATCAACATATGAACATCGATGCGTACGTTAAGCTAAAGATCGCCGTAAGAATCAACAAAAATGAAATCAGTGAGGAGTCGCTGACGAGCGCTCTCAGGGAAGTTCTTGGCAATCCCACGTACAAGTAAATAATTGTCGTTACTATGTAAAAGGGTGTAGGTAGAAAGACATACAGAGATACACTTGTATGCTCACCCTGTCCATTTTTTTTTTTTTTTTTTTTTATATATAGGGAATCGATTCGGAGGATTGGCAGGAAATTCCGCGACAATTTGGCGAATCCAGTCGACACGGCTGTCTATTGGGTGGAGTACGTGCACAGGCATGGCAAAGACGCCCTGAGATCTCTATTGGTCGACATGCCCTGGTGGCAAATTTATCTGCTCGACGTTTATGGTGTCATTGTTGCTGCGATAATTCTTTGCGTGCTTATATTGTACAAATTTTACTTGGTTCTGGCTGTTTCTTGTCGTAGCTTGTATCACAAGTTAATTTTAAAAGACAAAAAAAACAATTAATAAACCAATCAATCATGTATGAACAAAAAGTTGATGAATATCTACATATAACACTTAGACTGTGTTAAAAAAAAAAAAAAAAAACAATATTTACCAGACAAATCGTAAGTAAAGATTTTTCAAAGAAATTCTCGTCACACTTTAATATAAATTGGATTAACTTAATAAAAAGTATGTAACATGAACGCAGGGAAGGCTCAAAATACATTAATAATTACGATTATAAAGATATAAGTAGTAAAAAAGTTAATTTTTTCATTTTCAAGTCTCTAACTTTGGTTGACATTTTTAATTGATGGCAGTACTATGATAAAATTTAAACTCATTTCAAATTACAGTATAAAATTTCAAATTTTTCTGTCGGTATGAAGTTAAAATTTACGAGATGACAAAACGTAGGAAAATATAGAACTAATCCCAATAATATTAGTAATCATTAATTTTATGACGTCTAGATTTTAAATGCCAAGAAAAGGTATATAAAGTTGTTGTTGCCCTTAATAAACAATAGTTTTCTAATAAATATAAAATTAGTGTGGACGTGGATGATGCAAAGTATTCCTTGAACACGCTTATAGTAGATTATTCCAATTGTAAAAAAATTCACATTTGAGTGCTTATCCGTGGAAATTGGATGATTCAATAATCATTATATTGTGCCCTCTGGTAGATATCTTAATACTGTCGCTATTGTTGTAAAGTATCTCTTTCAGGGTACATTGCACACACACACACACACACACTCTCTTTTTAAAAGTAGTTCTAACCATGCAACTGCATGAAAAAATTTGTTGGGAATCGTAACTATCGTGGATTCAAATTAAAGTTGATATTAAATATAGAATTGTGCCTTTTTATTTATTAACAATATGGTAGTATAATGAATTTGTATTGGTAAGAATATTGTCTATAAAGCAAATATAAGAATATAAAAATAGATTATAAATTATTAATAAAACAAAATTATGATTAAGTCATTTTTTTGAAATCACTATAATCAGTAAAACATTTCGTATAAACATTTACAATGGTCTTATATACTATTAAATGCTTATGAATTTATATTATTATTATTTTTTTTTTTTTTTCATCTAACGTGTCTTTTCGTTTAAGAAAAATATTCAATTTTTACATATTATTTCAAATAATGTTTGTTGCAGAAAACTACAAAGCTAGAATATAGGAAAATAAAAATCATGAACTAACCATGATGTTTCTCATGGTGCAACAATTATATTACATCTTCCAGGTTTTGTCAGTTTTTATTAAATATATAGATACATAAAAATAAACACGATGTATGAACTTTTTATATCTATACAAAACCTATTTTATCGATGATTAATATACAGAGAATATAAATGAGTAAATTTAAATTATAACATTTCACCCTTTGTGTAAATTATTTCTTATATCATCTACACCGAATACAAATAGATTTTTAAGCTTTCTGATCTTTGCAAAATCGTGCTCCCCAAGCATCTTATACGCTATTATATAATTTTTTTTTACAACTTTTCCGTAGTATTCGAGTCGTCTAAGTAATTAATCCATTTGGCTTCATAAGTAATATTATATAACAGTATTTTACATCTAAAAATACATGTGCAGTTGATAAAGAAACCAAATTTTAATTCGTTATTAAATATATCAAAAAGTCTCTTCACAAATAATAATAAAAATTAAAAAAAAAAGTCATAAGTTGTTGTTTGGTTTGTGAAAACTTTGCTTGAAAATTATAAGAGTCAAATGTTCTATAGCTTGTCTTAGCTTTCAACAATAAAAAAAAAGTACCAGAAAAAATTTGAATAATTTTCAACAAAGTCACAATAAATATTCTCTGTGTATGCAACAAGCCTTCAAGTTTTCTCATCTCGGAAAATTCTATAATACATTTGAGACTCCATGGTATAAGCAACGCCACTGAAACTTGCGTAGGTATTTTTTACATTCCTCTCACATAGTCCTTTTGCATGTGATTTTAGAAAATCAGTCATTTTCTTGGCTATTCAAGTTCAACTATTGTCGTTAAACGTGAGCCCACATATGCTAATGTTGCTGCTGCTGCTGCTGCTGTTGTTGTTGTTGTTGCTGCTGCTGCTGCTGTTGTTGTTGTTGTTGTTGTTGCTGTTGTTGTTGTTGCTGATGTTGCTGCTGCTGCTGCTGATGATGATGTTGCTGTAGCAACGCTAGAGTGTTAGCGTCTGTGCCCGCAGGCAAGACTACGGCAGAGTTTTCGCTAACCGCGATCTGATGAATTTGCGCTTGTGAGCCTTGACCCACCTGGGGTTTAAAAATTTGCATGACGCGCTTTAATTTCATGAGCGGATCATGACAAAGCGTAATGTTAGTATGTGATAATGTATAACATTTATTCAAGAAAGGTGAAAATAGAGAGATAGGGTGAGAGATAGCGTTTTAATTACAAACATAAAAATATTTACAACGTAAATGTAGAACATTGCGAGTTTTAGATGTCAAGATAAAATTTAAACTTTAGCCTTTCGTTTTTTGATAATTGAGATGCAATGCATGAACCAAAAGCAAGAAAGATGGAAGGAAATAAGAGTAAACGTAGAAAATTTCATTTCAATACTCACTTGTATTTGTATCTGCTGTACCTCGGGCTGGACACTATTTGATTGCTGCTGATGCTCAGCTTGCTGCTGCTGAACAACTTGAACTGCTTGCTGCTGAGACTGAACTTCGCTCGCATTACCTCCAAGAGGATCTTTCCCTCGTTTGGCCAAATGCGACTTTGAGTGCTTTCTCAAATGATCCTTTCGATAAAAAGCTTTACCGCACTCGGTACACACTTCCGTCTTGTGGCCGGAATGTATAACAGAGTGTAAATTGAGATGCTAAAATAATGAATATTGGATGATTAATAAATTAATAAAAATATTAATGAGGAAAAAGTGTTTGCAGTGATAAGTGATTTTAAAATAATACCTCTTTTCTTTTAAAACCCTGAAAATAAAAAATGAGTAAATTAATTAATACTGTTTATCGCCAAAAATATTGTTGCGGTGGTATATGATTAAAAAACAATACCTTCGAGCAAACGGGGCACCGATGGGGCCTTTCAGGATTATGGCCCAGCTTATGCCTAAAAGAACGCAAAATTATGACATATTATTTTTCAAGTAAAACAAATCGAAATTCTAATATTAACGCTATTCGTCATTAAACTAATTAATTACACTTGTTAATATATAGTTGTCATATTTAAACTGGTTACATACCTTTCTAAATGTTCTTTTCTTTTAAGACCTGTGCCGCAGATGTGGCAGATAAAGCGCCTCTCGATTTTGTGTCCGATCAAATGCTGCTCCAGCAGTTCTATCTCCGGATAAGCCATGCTACACTCAGGACAGCAATATAGCGTGGTACCATCGAGAGCTGTGACTATATTCACCTAAAGTGTTAAATTAGTAGTTTTGTTTTAATATAAATGCACGATACCACTTAAGTAATTGTTGTGAGATCACAATGGAAATTCATGACAATGGAAAAAAAAAAGCTCCTTTCGAGATTTTCCAGTAATGAGAGTGAATGATGCACGAGAAAAACATATCAGTGAACTTGCATACACTAATATAACTAGGATACATGTATTTGAGAAAGCCACTGAGGTGAATCAACCAGCAAATGAGGAAATAAAGTGAAGTAATTTCTCAAGCTATATTACACAAAGATTTTATGTGTCTATATTTATCTTTTCATTTGGCTCATTAACTAACAATTTATATATTAAAAATCAGAAATAAAAAAAACGAGGTGTTGCATACAAACAAAACAATCATAATTTTAGAAAATATTCAAGGAAATTGTATATTTACTAATACTCTGCAGAGAAACAAAAAACAAAATAACAAAAAAAAAAGACTTGTATATTGCAGTGGCAAAGTACATTGTATGTGTGTAACAAATTTTCATGTGCCTAATCGTGAAATTTGTTTGTCTCATCGGTAATAATTTTAACCACTGGACTATGAATAATTTATTGTTTCAAGTCAATAAACAATGCACAAAAACATTGTTGCACTTTGTTGTTTCAAAATACCATAATTTTTTTTTATGTATTCAACATAACTCCCAAAAGTAAAAGTTTACATAGTCTCAGTGTATTGTTATACCAATAAACAATCTGACCATATAAAACTCTTTGTGAGTTAAACAAAAAAATAACCAAACGATATTGAAAAAAAAAGAAAAAAAAATCATAAAATTAACGATGATTCAAGACGATCACACAAGCGTTATGAGAAAAGTACTTTTTAAAAAACACAGCTGTACCTTAAAACGTCTACTTTTGGAGTTTTGAGGGCGATCGGCGAAGTTCATCTGTACCATCGCAAGTGTGTGAATGTGTCAATACAAAAAAAAGAGAAAAATTGTTTTGTAAAATTGGTGTTTCTCACATGAGGCTAAATGAAAAAAAAGTAAGGTCTTTCCTTGCGAGATTTTGAACTTTCAACAGAAAAACCTTAGGTATTTGAAAATGCTCTAATAATTTGTCATTATCAAAAGACAAATAAAGAAATAGTGTACGAAAATGTAAACGAAAATTAATAAAAGGTTCCAAAGGGCCTTTGCTTACGAGGTAAAGCAGCTTGCCAAATGGCGAATAAGGAAAAAAAAAAAAAAAATTATTCCACAATATTGCTCAAACATTTTATAATTTTTATCCTCTGGTCAACTCACCTGTCCAAGCTTAGGCTTCTTGGGCTTGGGTGGCTTTTTCTTGTACTTCTTCTTGCGTTTGGGCTTGACACCCGGCTCTCCACCCCCCTCTTCCATGACATCGGGTATGATCTCGGTTTCACCCCCGGCCACTGTGATCTGCACAGTCTGACCATCGCTGGTGGGATTTCCCGCGGCATCGAGTCCATCGGCACCTAGAGGGCTAGTTTCGATCATAGACTCGCGCTTTATCGTTTCTGCGGAGAACTTGAGGAAATTCTGGAGCGTGTTTGCAGATAATTTCGACAGGTAATCGGCCACCACGTTACCAGGAGTAATACTGGTGGACCAAGCGCCAGGCATCGAGGCAATAAACTCCTCACCACTCTGGTTACCCTGATTCTTGGTACCACCGCGTTTTATAAGGGCGACCGGCGTCGTGCCGGCCTCCGTTTTTATGTGAGCAGTCTCTATCGTCGTGTTATCTTTTGTCTCCTCGATGCTCTCACGTAGAATCATGTCGTGCGGTATCTGCGCCACAACAGTAAGTCCCTCGGGTGCTCCGGGCAGCTGGACCGTTTGCTGGATCGTCTGTTGAGCCGTTGTTGTAGCTGTCGCTGTGCTCTGAGTCGTGTGCTCAGTTCTGTCAACAATAAATATGATTACTTTTCTGTACATTGCGTTGAACAGGACATAAATTACTTTTAATAATTTGTGCAAATATAAGGAAAAAAAAAAAAAAAAAAATTAAATTGTAAAAAAAGTAGTCACGTTTGCGTTGTGGCGATGGTGTTCTGCGGCTGAACCTGTATCTGTACATTGTCGTTGCCCTGCTGGCTGTAAGCGACGGTAAGTACGGTGGCCGCACCCTGTGGTATCTGATTGAGTTGATTCAGCGATATGGGCGCGAGATGGTACTTGGGCTGTTCGCCGCTCTGGTTGACATTGGGATTGACGACCTGTATCTGCACGGTTTGTTGCTGCTGGGTACCATCCTTGCCGGGGACGGTGATGGGCAGGGTGATGAACTGCTGTTGGTGATTGTTGGCGCTCGGGGTCGCTACCGTGAAACCATTAGCGTCGACTGGCCGAAGGTAGTGGATACCACCCTCGCCGCTCGATATAACCCCGACTACTTGGCCGCCCGTCGGCAAATTTTGGGCGAACTTTGCAGTGGCGAACTGGTGGACCGCCCCCGTAGGCAGCGAGCCCGTCGTGAAGCCCGTAAATGGGGTGAAGTTCATCTCAATGCTGATTTCCTAAGGCTACTCTTTCAATCAACGCTCCTGTAATCATCGACAAAGGACACAGATTAGTATAAATTTTAGCTGTTATTACAATACTTAATTATTTCAACGATTGCATAATATATGTGTTTGTGTTTATTTTGCAGTTTTCATTTACATTTTTGGGCAAAAAGCGACATACGACGCACACTCAAACATTGCTGGATTGCATGTAAACGCTATCCGTTTAAACTCGCGCAATCCAAGGTCAGCTTTTACGTACACAATTTACCGGTATACCTATATACAAATTCATTCATCCAAGAATTCTCATTCGTTCGCGTCACGTGCACCAGCTGATAGGTAAGTATAGGTGTTTGCCGCGTGCCGCTGATATGCGCCCTCTCTCGCGTTACCGTCACCACCACCACCACCACCACCACCACCACCACTACCGCCCACTCCTCCACCACTTCTTTCTTAGCCTGCGCGTTTCTCCACGTCCATCCCTTTCTTTCACTTTTTCTCTCTCTCCTCTCCACCAGCTTTCGCGCGCCGCGTCCACCACCTCCTCCCACGCGGCGCCCAGTAGCTGCCCCCCCCCCATATACTTATTATCTTTCTCTCTTTTCAACTATACAACTTTCGCTCTCTCTGACACTTTGTACGTGACACGCGTAAGTATTCTCTTATCCGCGGGGCTGTTGCACGCCTGTCATGATACGACGGCAGTGAACAAAAAAAAAAAAACATTATCAGCTCTTTGTCACCAAGTACAAAGATTTCAAAGCATCCGCATGGCTTATCTGCTTAATATGCACTGCATCAGTTGCGACAGAGGCCAATAAACTGGAGCGAATAGTCGGCCAACTGCACCACGTGCTCGGAAACAATTGATATACGGTATGATCTCGAGTTCCATATTACAACAGTTGCACGAAACGAAAATTCGTTTCCCCACCCGAGATTGTATCATGTAATATCCCTGAAGTACACGAGCACACCCCCTAAATTTATCAGTCTGGGGGGTGGGTGGGAGTTGGGGGGTAGGTGACAAAGGAAAAGAAGGGATGAGAAAAAAAAAGGAAGGGACAAGAGTAAAAGTGTGCGCCAGGCGAGAGAGGGTAGGCCAGACCGATGTCCCCCCCCCCACCCCCGTTGGGTAAGAGGGGTGGGGTAGCGAGCGTTTGTGTGTACTGTGTAGGGGGAGAGAGAGAAGAAGAAGCAGCAGAGAGAGAGTAAAGTCCGAGTAGTAGGTATATGGCAGAGCAGAGGAAGGGAGGAAGGTGTATGTGTATGTATATACGCGCGCGTGTCAGAGAGTAGCTGGTGCAGAGTAGAGGAGGAAATCCCCCCGGTGTGGCTCACTGCCAGCCAGCCAGCAAATGCCCTTACACGCGTGCCTTCTCTCTCTCTCTGTCTCTCTCGATGCGACGTAGCAAAGCGGGGGCACATCGGAGCAGAGAGTAGTCAGCACATGGACAGGGAACGGGGGGGGGGCTATTCTCACTTTGGGGGGGTCACACGCCGGTATAAAAGCCAGGGTATCCCCGCGTGAACGCGGCTTTTGGGGCCGCGTCTCGCGGTCGCGAGGAGCTTGCGGGCTACCGCGGTGCTCTCCGGTGGCGTGGGCTCGATCCCCATGATGCGCTATAAGCTGTCCCGTGGAAATGTGCGTGAATAATGATTTTTTTTTTTTTTCGTAGGAAAATATAGAACTAATCCCAATAATATTAGTAATCATTAATTTTATGACGTCTAGATTTTAAATGCCAAGAAAAGGTATATAAAGTTGTTGTTGCCCTTAATAAACAATAGTTTTCTAATAAATATAAAATTAGTGTGGACGTGGATGATGCAAAGTATTCCTTGAACACGCTTATAGTAGATTATTCCAATTGTAAAAAAATTCACATNTTTTTTTTTTCATTTTTTATTGTTCAATATCGATTAAACCAAGTTTGTGGCTGTTTTTTTTTTTTCTTTTCAACTACCGCTACAAAGAAACAACTCGTGTGGTGATTGGTCAGAGCTTTATTGCAATTGTCATGATTTTAATAGCCACCAGTGATGGTTACAATATTATATTACACACAACTTGAACGATGACGTAACTTTTTTTTTTTTTTTTTTTTTTTTTGTTTTTGTCTTTTCTTATATACTTTCGGGTTGAAAACGTAAGTGATATGTAAATAGTAGTAGACTCCGAAAATAATGAAGATAGAGCGAAATAAGGCCTAATTTAAGATCATTGCAATTAATTTTTTTTTTTTTTTTTTTTTGTTTTTGTCTTTTCTTATATACTTTCGATACTTTGTCGGTCGGACGCGAGCAGGTGGATGCCCTTTGGTACCCTTAAACCCGCACAGCAGATCGCTGCTTGCTACGCACCCCCGTCAGGCTTTTCTTTTTTCTCTCTGATCTGATATCCTATAGTAACAACAAAAGAACGTGCACGTTAGCATGATTATCATTTTTTCTTTGTACAATATTTATTAAATTTCATCCACAACTATGTATAGATACAAAAAAAAGGAGGTATGTCTCCATTTTAACAAATAAATAAAAAAATCAATTAAACTTAAGATTTACGATAACGATTAAAAATGTACTGTGGGGATGCAAAAAGTATTTGACTCTCTCGACGCGGATATACAATGAGGTATTTTATTTTAGCTAGCGTTGCCTGGGGCAGTAGAGATTTTCCACTGGCAACGCACGCCACGTAAGTAAAGACAGGAAACCATGAGCACTGGCTCCGGCATCGGCGAATGTCAAAAGAGACGTAAGCATGTGAGTATAGGTAATACAAAGCGACGAGACGAGATGGAAAGAGAAAGTGTCGAGGTGGGGTGGATGTGTACAACGTACAAGCGAAGTGTTGTTATAGGCAGTGCCCACACCACCGGTGTCACGTGGTGGGTAGGTATCGGGTACCACCACCACCCGCGACTCGGAAGGTCTCTCTCTCTCTCAAGTAGAGCACCACCATCGGGGATGTATATATATATCCCTCCCCGCCCTATACCATTGCTAGAATCACCGCTGCTACCACCACCCCCGCCCCCACCCCGAGGGGTTTCGCGCGACGACGCGTGGCAAGTGCGGGGGATACGGAAATCCAGTCAGAGAACGGGAGACCGGTCTTGTGGGGGGATGGGGAGGGTTATAGGCCGATGCAGGAGGAGGGAGGTAGTATAGCGACCACAACCAAACGGAGAGAGAGAGAGATAATATATATATATAGTTGGCGAAATAAGGAGCCGGCGGGAGATGCAGCTTGCAGCTAAAAAAAGCTCTCGCCAGAGGTTGGGCTTGTAGACGGTAAGATCGATAATAATTATTATATTCCAATGTAAATAACATTCACCTAATCATTTTTCAAATACAAATTAACGTATATATATATATATATATATATATATATATATATGTACGTACCTATACCCTACATAATTATTATGTACTCGGTACGGCCAAGAGGGTCCAAGAGAGATGGAAGCTTGCAGACAATTTGGATCGAATTGTATGAAGATATTCGATAGTCGAGCGGAGTAGGGTTTTATTTTTTTTTTAGCACATGTACAACTACACTGAGTGTATCATTGAGTATTGGAGGTGTCAAAAAGCTCCGAAAGCTTGCGACAAACAAACTAAACCGATCGACGTGCAAGTCGATTCGAATGAAATGAACGAAAACGAGTTAGCTTGAGATGTAATATATATATAGAGAGAGAGAGAGCCGGTGTGGAGTACCTGTGCATATATAGTTGTATGAATGTACACACAATGAACCGAGATTGAGAAGAAGTAGGAGAACCTGCATCAGAGAGAGAGAGAGAGAGAGAGAGAAGGGAGAAAAGCCAAAGAGCAAAGGGAGGGAGAGGAAGTGCATCTGTAGGGATAGGAGCCCCACTCTTGTTGCTCTGCGGCTCTCTTTCGCAAGTATCGAGTAGTGGTACCTATACTGCACCGGCAGGCAAGAGTGGCAAGATATCCCTGTACAAGATGAAGAGAAGAGAGTAGGAAGAGCAGCGGAGCTTGGGAGAAGTGGTTGACGCCGCCGAGATAGCGGTGGCAGGAGGCGTAGGTGTAGCGCGGAGTAGGAGGAGGTGGACATAAATGACTAGAGAGAGAGAGAGAGAGGAAATTGGTAAAGCTTGCTCGTGGTGGCACGGGGTGTGTGTATTTCTCACAGGGTGGGGGAGAGGGGGGTTAACACACGTATACTCGACACAAGGGATCCCCGTTTTGCCTGCTGATCGAGTTGTGGGGCTCCGCGGTGGTGGTGGTGGTGGTGGTGGTTGTGGCACGGTAGTAGCAAGAGGAGGGAGAGCTGGTGGTGGTGGATACCAGAGAGGGGGATGAGAGACAAGCAGCGGTAGCAGGGAAAAAAGTACTTGCTCGAAACAGGAGAAAAATCGGGCGAGAGACGATATGATAGGTACGAATTTCGGTGGCAGCGGTGGCGGTGGTGGAGGTGTGACGACGGTGGGAGGGTTTATCACACAACGGTGCCGATGAATGAAAGTGGAATGCGGCAGAGACTCACGTGTTATCGACGTTGTTGGGCGTTTATTTGACAAACAAATTTGGGCTATTGTGCTTATATTAAAACATGTATTATATTACTTATGTGCCCGCACCCTCAACATCATAGGTGGGCAAATTTTACGTTATTTATAGTCTTCGAATACTAGTGAGTGGGTGCACTTCGGACTCTCGTTGATACTTTTTGGAACCCACTACTAATTGTAATAAGTATACTTACAACTTATGATTATATTAATTAATAAATAATAGTCGTTAATATAGTTTAACAATCTATAGTCTTTGTATGTCACATTATTTTTTCATTCGTTTTTATTACTCTACCTTTGAATGAAAATCCGGTAGATAGTGCGAGAGCAGGGATACTTACGGATGCCTTTATAACAATACGTTAGGGATTAAGTAATCTGAACGATTAAATGGTTTTTTACGTTTATTATTTCTAAATAAAATTACATATTTAGGATGTTGAGGACAAAGAGAAAAATTTTATTTGTCACGTGATAGGACTATTTACATAAATAAACGTACACCAACAAAATAGCACCTGCACACTCCTACACAAATTATTTGTTTTGATAAAATATAATTCTTTTTAGAAAATTTTATGAGGTCAAATTTTCTAACATAAAATATCCTAAAACAGCGAAAAATTACAAAAAAAATTGAAATTCAAAAATAGTTCAGTCTATGCATTATGTAAAAATCGAAGTAAAAAACGACATATTAAAAAAAANAAAAAAAAAAAAAAAAAAAAAAAAAAAAAAAAAAAAAAAAAAAAAAAAAAAAAAAAAAGAATTTGTTTTAGCAATAACAGAATTTAAAAAATAATGTCATTTTTATCAACTGAAACAGTTAATTAAAAAATAATGAAATAAAATTGAAAAGTATAAAGTATAAAGTAGTAACTTCTTAAGGCAACCAGACGAGCTTTTTTATGTCAGCAAATATCTGATAATAACAAGAACCATGGTATCTTACCTGGTACCTTACCATATATTATATTGAGAGTTGCACTATTCTGAAGTAGGAAAATAATTGCTTCAGTATGTTAGTAAATAGTTAATTTTTTAGTACTTTTTTTGAGGTACATACTTCTCTTTCAAAATAACTACTTACTCTACAGGCAATCATAAGAACAGCAGAAAAAATTAATTTTACAAACAAACGATTCCATCTTTGTCAACTGAAACAGTTACTAAGAAAATAATGCAATAAAATTGAAAAGCATAAAATTGTTATTCCAGATATTCGGTAACTTCTTAAGGCAACTAAATGAGCTTTTTTTGAGTCAGCACACATCTGATTAAAAAAAACCATATGTTGTGATTAGCGAAACAGCAAAAATAAGGGTAAATAGTCGACACCGACTCCGTTCAAATTTATTGTTGATCAAAAACTCAAGTAAGAAAATAAATTTATTTATGAGATTGTAAAAAAAATGAATTAAAAAATGATGCGAGACGATATAAGCAATAGGCTGATTACATGCAGAATCATAGAGCAAAGTTTACAAGTATTTTATTTTCATCTATTATCATCCGTATACATGCAACTTTGTGCACATCATTTCATGGGACGCATGTTATACCCGCAAAATTGAAGCGTTGGCATATCTCGCAACACAGAGAGTACGAGCAATGTATAAGTACACGTTACGTATGTATGCATACTTTGCGCAACCAAAGCACGTATAATAGACACGCGTGCGTATCTCCACATGATAATGTTGTACTCTCGAGTGAGCGCGATTTCTTTTGTCATCGAGTTTTTTCTCGAGTTCTCTCGTTTACGCGTTACAAACTGCTACATTTGCTGCATGTTCCCTTTAATTTTATATTCTTCCTCTTCGAATCCCTCGCGCTTCACGCTCTTAAAACGGATATCGCTGCCCATCCCCATCAGAGAATATCTTTTTTTTTTCAGCTCTTGGCTGTACATCCTTTTATAGGAAAACCATTGTACATGGGATATTAAAAAAAAAATAAAATTGATAACCCCGAGATTTCTTTCTCACACCGTTACTTTGCTGCATCAGACATCAACTTTATTCCTTATCTCCTTCCTACACAACAAATATGTAAAAATATTATATGTATGCAAACTGGGGCGCCAAGCAATACAATGTATGGGCTACGTACACGTGGTCATATCCACAGACCAAGTCGTATAGTTTGGGCAAATGAAATTTTTAGCACATCTGCACCCTTTGCATCAACAATGAGCACTTTCCAAGGGAAAGTACCACCACCACCACCACCACCACCACCACCCACAAAAAGGTAACGGTTCTTTCTCTCTTTACAACGTGGAACTGTGACAATTCGTGCACTCTTTTTTGTTTCCACTCTGCCTGCCCTGCCAATAAGTTTTCAAGTTCACGACAAAGATTACCCCTCCACCCAAGTCCAGTTGCACGTGGTGCACAACAGCGACGGCACACGCGTTTACCATCACCCCTCGCAGACTCTCTCTCTCTCTCTCTCTTGCACTTTGCAGCTACGTACGTTCCCACCCTCGTCTCTCCCTCTCTCTTGTCATCTCCTCGCGGCGTAGCTGCCCCCTTCTTTCCATCGCGTAGAGCAAGTGCACGGCCGCCTGTGTTATATGTACATACACACATGTATACAGTGGAGTCCCTGGAAGGGTCCCCATCCCCCCTCTCTTGCCTGCCCTCTGGCTTCTCTCTCTCCACCTCGACCCCTCCCGTTTCCGATCCCACGACTACGTCGACGACCCCCCGGCTTGCAACTCGCGGTGGGTGCAGCCGCGGCCGCTGATGCCTCCTAGGACCAGCTGGCCGCCCGCGCTCGCGCCAGTAGACGCCTGGCGTGCAGATTGCGTTGGACGGTTTGCTCAGCGGGTGTCGGTATATGTATAGGGCGAATGACAACGGCAATATTGCATCACATCACGGATGCGCGTTACGTTAATGCGACCCGGCTTTGTTTTTTTTTTTTTTTTTTTTTTTTTTTTTTTTTTTTTTTTTTTTTTTTT